TATTTTAATCCTCTTCACCTACGAGGTTGAGAGGAGGAGAAACAAATACAGGCCAGAGTCCTGATCTGACTTGCGAGACATCTCCACTGAGTCTCCCCGCGGGCCTTGGGGCCCGCCTAGACGACATCTTTCCATCCCGTGGAGGTAAAGCGGAGAAAGGAAATGAATTGTTCCATGTGGACGGGCCCGGCCTGGCCGCTTATGTACAAACCCATAGCTCGATAGGGCCCCTATTCCGCCGTCCAACCAATCGAATCGCGTACAGCGTTATAGCGACTCTGGCTGGTCACTTGCGACCATCGGTGGGAAAAAGGTCATGTATGAAGCCTTCTAGCCCTGATCCATTCCCGCAAGCGGACGCTTTTTCGTAAAGATTCTTATTCTCTTATGAAAGGATTACCAAGTACGGCAGAAAAAAAGTATTGAATAAGAAGGAATGGCGGTAGGATCTCTTACAAGAACTTAACAGAGAGAAGAGACTCATTCAATTCTCGCTTTCCTTCTGTCTCCTTCCCGTTGCCATCGCAAATGTTGATGCGAACCTGTTACTGTCTGGGATGACCGCGCTTCCTTCTCTTTTGAGAAGGAAGCTCTCATATTGGTTGGAGGGCAGGATAGGGGCCCCACCGTGCTGGGGTTTTTTACATAATCATATACGCTTATCATATTGGCTTATTAAGAAAAACTAATACAGGCTGGTTTTAGTCAAAACCAGGCTTCCTATTCCCTCGTTCTTCCTCCATACTTTGCGCATGTATCTAATTGCTCATGCAAGTGTCAAGCCTCAGCCAATCCGCATTAACAATGGAAATATATAGGACTCTTGGAGTCCAATAAGTTCATCCCTCATACCTTTCTTTATTGACTGGAACTACCTACGGATATTAAATCATCTTAATATATGCCTAAAACATTAATATAAGAAGTATGAGGAATGCTTAACAAATGCTATATTTATTACTGGGAAACATGCCTGTTAAGAAAAATTTGTCGAGGTTACGCTTGCCAGTTGAGTGGATCATATCTGCGTCTACAGCGTCGTTTGATTCCGTGGAGGAATAACTGTACGTTGAAGCGTGCAGGAAGCCATCGTTTCAACAATTATTTACGTTTCGCATCAAAATTGTATAGATAGTAAAGCAGACCATTCTGGCATCCATTATCGTGCAACGATCTGGAGCTTTCTGGTGATTCTCAAGTAAAACGAAATAGAAAGCATACATTGAAACAATATCCATTTGATTGAAAAATATATATCTCCAAATTTTGATTGGACCATTGAACAAGTCTCGGATGCTTCTTGCATATCCTGCTGGAGGGCACAAGAAAATTGCAGCCGCCCCGAGAGGCCTGCCAAATAAATACATGGATTTTAAAATTAATAATGGCAGGTGGGTAGAATTTTCGTTAGCCAAGATGGACAGAGGCAACTATTTCTTTTCAATTGGAAAAGGGACGACGGAGGAAATCTCACGTAGAAAGTCTGGTGTCACTTGCGTTGTAAACAGGACTCTCGCCGAATCCGTCGCAAAATCTTCGTCGCCGGGAGGGAGCATGACTCCCGCGATAGCGCGCCACGCCTCCATCAAAATGGAGGGAAGATCGATCGCCAAGAAATCCGCCAATCTAGACTCTGATGCCCATTGGCAGAATTCTCTTCCCTTGTTCCTACAATTGAGATTTAGGAGACTTTTGACTCGGCAAGAAATAAAAAATCAGCAATAGCCGGAAAACCATCATCCTCCAACTGGAATGTCGACTCCTTCCCTTTCCTTCAATAATATTATATGTTCCTGTATGCCCAATTCACCAACTTGTGAAGTTGTAAAGGGTGCAATCCTCTTGCTTAGCCTCCGAACGTCAGCTGCATCTCGTCATAATTTACAAATTTTTCAGCGAGTGTCGTTTAATTCCGTGGAGGTAAAATCGTACTTAGCGTGTAGGAATCGTCACAAATAATGGATTTTGCGATGGTCATTGTATATATGAGAGCAGAGTAGAGTATTTTGGCAACCAAGCTTTTCCAATGATCTGGAACTTTCTGGCACTTTCCAGATAAAAAGATAAACAAGGCATACATTGAAACAATATGTATTTAATTCAATAAAATGAAAATCTCCACAATTTCATTGACCCGTTGAAAGATTCTCGTTTGCTCTTCGCATACTCCTCCATCGGAGGGCAGAGAAAAACCACCGAATCAGCCGCCGAGAGAGCTGCAAAATAAATGCAAGGATTTCAAAAATGAAATTTGCACCCACCTATGGTGATTTTGTTAGTTTCCCGCCCCTGCCCATCATTCCTATTTATTTTCAATTGGAAAAAGTGAAGAGAGAGAGAGGACCTGACTTGCCAATAGGACTCTCGCCGAGCCAGTTGTGAAATCTTGGGCTGCCTCCTGCCTCTCCCGGCGACGAAGGAGTCTTGATTGCAGTGGCTCGTCCAACCTCCATTTTTAGGCATGCATAACATGCCAAAAAAGCAGGAAATCTAGGTTCCTTCGTTACGACGATGATCTTCATGTTTGCTGCATCGTTAAGAAAGGTTAAAGGGAAGAGAAATGCATTATTTCAATTTAGGATTCCTTTCAATTTACTGTTGAAATATTAAGAGCATGTATATCGGGGATGAGTTAAAAGTTGACTGGGGTTCAAATTAGATTTAAAGCGGAGTCATGTCGCCATTGAAAATTCAACAGTGATGACTGGACCAATAGGTAAGCCAATGCAGTATTTGGATGGGAGTATCTTGACGTATGAAACGAAGGAGAGAAGGGTCTAATTACAGGAATATGGACTGGGCGACTTACGATTTTTTGGAGTTGACGGGTGAGGGCGTGAATGTTTGTCAGTCTGTCCATTGTTGAGAAAAGGCTGGTTGAAAAATGTTGAAAAACCTGAGTATGGGTTAAGCGACTGATTTTACGTATTCTTGACCTTCATTTTTGCTCTTCCGGTGGGCGGGGGCTCCCGTTGGTCGGAAGAAGGGGGTGGGCGGGAGGAGGGCTCGTCTGTTTCGGTCCTTCCCGCTGGTTCCGGACCGAGAAAAATTCCATATGAGAGCGAAAGTTTTTATCCTGGCCCCTGAGAGAAAAATCCCAGGAAGGAGGGCTGCTGCGGGAATATCTCGGGAAATCTGACTTCTAATAATGACCTTTCATGCTTATTTCCCTCGCAGCTGTTCTCTAATACCAATCTCGATCTCATTAACAATTATAAGGGAACAACCCTGTTATTTGGCGATTTTCATGTACATGCCACAGACTTCTGCAACAAATGCTTTAATAAAAATGGCCGGATTCTCTCAGACCTCATACTTTCAGCAACCTTGCCATCCACAACGACTCCTTTCCCACGTAGCATTGCGCGAATGAGGATTCTTCCTAATGCCTCCTCGACCTTCGAACAGTCCATTTTCAATCAATCGGTCCCGGCAAGCGTTAACGAGCCAACTTCATATTCTCATACTTAACCAAGGCACTTTTCCAAATGTAATTGGGCTCGAATTGGCTTGCAGTTGTGCTAAGTTTTAATTGAGAGCTTTGGAAAGGTATTTAAATATTGTAGACTTTACTTCGAGAAAAGTATTTGGGGCAGTCCCTCCGCCTACCTTTCTGGCTTCTCTAAAAGTGTCACTATCATTCTAGTGGATATTCCCGATCATTTTCGCCTTTTATAATGCCAACTAGAAAATGTGGGCGAAGAGCATTTCCATGTGATATGTAAAGATAACGTTATCCTGTGATACGAGCATCCCAACCTAGGAAAAGTTAGTCCTACCCAAAACGATCTTTTTTTTTTAGGATGAAAAGCAATCCAATAGATATCACCCATGATCCAACAACATCAATGGGGAATTTATTATTATCATAATCAGAAAGCACAGGATACAGTAGTGCATGACTCTTGGATTATTGTCTTTTTTTTCTGCAGGAGGATTGATGGGAACGCCTATGTACATGATACACGAAAAAAAGGTATGGACGGTCTCACATGGCTCGTTCCCTTCTCTGCAATCGACATGTCAATATTATCACGAGAGCAGTAAGTAAATCTTAAGGCCGCCCAGAGATGGCGCGGAAGCATCTCGGTGTACTATTTATGTAAATTGCCACAGTTAAGTTATTGTATAGCTAGATTTATGGTACCGGTCAGACCAACATTAAATGGAACGGGAAAGATTCGAAACTGCCGTAAGTTGATTAAAAATAAGCGATTAAAACTGGTCAGTAGGGGAGAAATAAGGGACACCGGTGAGTTAGCCACCGGGAAGAGGAGTGACCTCGCAGGCCACTAGCAAGCAAAAGAAGGACCGGATCAACGACCCACGACGATCCCCAACGACCAGAAAAACAAGCGACCGACACTAAGCGATCGAGAGAAACACCCCGAAAAAGCAATCCCCTATCGACTAACAATAATCTTATTAGATCCAAAAAAAAATCACCCCAATCCCCTGACGACCACACTCCCTAGACCTGGCCCGTGAGTAGTCCCAGCTACGCCCCACAGACCGTCCTCTGACAAGCACGGCGAGCGGCCGTATCGGCGATCCCGATCCAGTCCCTGGAGAGCATCGGCTGAGAGCCCTTACCCGCCTCCCAAAACTCGAGCTGACCAGCAGGACTTACTTCCTAGGGCCCTGCGTTCGCTGGGGTATTGTCATCCCTTCTCTCTTCCCTAATTTCTTTCAGCTTTAGAGCATTTTCTCATAAGACTTCCATGCAAGTTTTTAGAATTTTGGCTGCTGTGAACTTTTCATATACCTTTTTCTTTTACTTTTTTACCCATCTGAAGTAACATTTAAAATTTCCTGCTGCATTTATACATTCTAATATGCATGGACATCTTGCTCAAAAGCAGTGGTAATATATATGAAATTGAGAGAATTGCTTTGCACAAGAATAGTTCAAGTACTAAAATTCCACTAAACATTTTCCCTCCAAACCAATTATCTTTAAAGCCTCTTCCCTATTTTGAAATAGGCATGGCCGGAGCACCATGAAAGAGAGTCCAATCCCCATCCAAGTCACACCTGACATTGAATTTCTTGCAGGTTAGTTTCACATTCCTGTGCTCCTGTTCTGCTTTTTCAGAAAGGAACTATTTTACCATATAATTTTTTTGGTTATTATGTCTTTTTAGGGTACTGCCAGTGAGTCACCACAATTTGATACTTCAGGTTGCTCAAGATTGACCTTTCCAAACTCAGAAGCATCTTGTCAATGGACTTACAAGCTTCAACCAACGAAGAGTGTACCTTAATGCTGAAGATTGGAGAGAGAGAATTCTACCAAGATCGTGTATGTTTGGGGATTGAGGAATCACTCACAATTGCACTCTACACACAGGGCAGTGAGGAATGGCAGAAGGAAAGAAAATTGAGAGTCACTACAAGTTTTTAGAATTTTGGCTGCTGTGAACTTTTCATATACCTTTTTCTTTTACTTCTTTACCCATCTGAAGTAACATTCAAAATTTCCTGCTGCATTTATACATTCTAATATGCATGGACATCTTGCGCAAAAGCAGTGGTAATATATATGAAATTGAGAGAATTGATTTGCACAAGAATAGTTCAAGTACTAAAATTCCACTAAACATTTTCCCTCCAAACCAATTATCTTTAAAGCCTCTTCCCTATTTTGAAATAGGCATGGCCGGAGCACCATGAAAGAGAGTCCAAACCCCATCCAAGTCACACCTCTGACATTGAATTTCTTGCAGGTTAGTTTCACATTCCTGTGCTCCTGTTCTGCTTTTTCAGAAAGGAACTATTTTACCAAATAATTTTTTTGGTTATGTCTTTTTAGGGTTCTGCCAGTGAGTCACCACAATTTGATACTTCAGGTTGCTCAAGATTCAAGATTGACCTTTCCAAACTAAGAAGCATCTTGTCAATGGACTTACCAACATATGACACTTACAAGCTTCAACCAACAGACAAAGAGTGTACCTTAATACTGAAGAAGGAGATGGACATGGAGAAGCTGAAGATTGGAGAGAGAGAATTCTACCAAGATCGTGTATGTTTGGGGATTGAGGAATCACTCACAATTGCACTCTACACACAGGGCAGTGAGGAATGGCAGAAGGAAAGAAAATTGAGAGTCACTGGGTCTTGGCTTCATGAAGCTATCCACTGCAGGGACCCTGTGGCTAAGGCAAGAAGGAAGATTTTGGATCATGGAAGGAACCTTCTGTACTTCATGGAAAGAATGAGGAAGGGAATGCACGAATTGTTTTCCAGCAGAAGACAGGACTGCCTGTCCTGACATGTGGTTTATTAGTTAACCCTAAGGCACCTTACATGGGTTGCAGTCCAGATGGCTTAATCTTGAACTCTGAGGGTAGCTTAATTCCACTGGAAATTAAATGTCCATACAACTCGAGAACCTTGAAAGTTGTGGAGGCTGTACGCTCAAATTAAATGATAATGGTGAACTTACATCTCAGGGGTATTATGCTCAAATACAATTAGCCATGTGGATTTTGGATGCCCCTGTATCATGCCTTATGGTGAAGTCAGACGTTGACCATGAGGTCATCTTCGTAAATAGTGATGAAAACTATTTGGCAAATGTCATTCCTAAATGTCGAAATTTCTATTTCCAATATTACCTTCCAGCTTTATTCAGTTCTAGTCAAGAGTCTTGATTTTCTCCACCCATTCCATTGAAGTAAATAGTGATGAAAACTATTTGGCAAATGTCATTCCTAAATGTCGAAATTTCTATTTCCAATATTACCTTCCAGCTTTATTCAGTTCTAGTCAAGAGTCTTGATTTTCTCCACCCTAAGGTAACTATGAAACGTAGTATCGGTAAATTTTACTTTTACGTGACCTAAAAGGACTGAAGTTTACTTTATATACTCTTACAGTGGTTGTTGTCCTGAAAAAGGTAACTGTAGGTCGATTTTTCTAGAGTATATCTAAATTAAATGAGACCATACATACATTATAATGAGATACATTTCTGAACTCATTCATTTGCCTATACTCAGTCTCAGCAACATGAGAAAATAGGTCCTAAAATTTATCATCTGCCAAAATAGGTGAGGTCAGATTTTTAATTCCAGCAGCAATGAGCAAGAAGTCATCAACTAGAGGAACAAGAGTCCATGGGAGTTTCCCCGAGAGGACCGCAAATTGCTTCAGTCTCTGGATCAAACGTTCCACATGGACTCTAGCTTTTGCTATCTGTCGAGTTCTGAGTGCATCATTGCTGCAGAATTGCTGCTGTTTCCTCAAGTATGGAGGACGAAACAGTTCAATGCCTCTTTCTGTGCAGAATTGCTCAATGAGGAATCCTTTGTCTGCCATAATGGCATCATGAAATGGCTGTAACTTCTCTGATTCCACTTTGTTCAAAAATGGCTTTGTCAGAAGCTCTTCCTCCATATCCTTGACTGAGGAAGGTGATCATGCCTCCTGGTGAAACACCAACCATATATTTCACTGTGTGGGTGCCCTTATAATGAGAGTATGTCAGGATGCGGCACTTGAGGCAATGCGGTTCCATCACAAAAACATTTAGGGATATTCATCAAAACCTCTTCTTTTGAAGGCCAAACCACAACTGATTTCAGCATGATAGCCAACTTTGGAATCACTGCCCAGAAAGTATTGCTGCATGTGTTGGAAGTGCAATGGAAGAGAACACCAAGAAAGTTATAGCTGAGATTCAACTTAATCTTCATCAAGCTGAGTAGAAGCTGTTCTTCAAGGCTCAAAACATGCTTCCTTGTAACAACCAAAACAGTGGCAAGGAGTCTCACAAGTGTGTTCAATAAATGGACTGTTGGAACTCCCGTAAGTGTCTTGATCTTTGAATCTTCCATAATCAAACTTATGAAGGGTGGCCTCAAGTCACCAGAGGACACATTTACTGCAACATCAGCAGTTGGGGCTGGCAGTGGGCTTCCACACTGTAACTGAAGGAGTGCCATAGCAGCCTCATCTCGGCTCCTGTCATCCTCCCCAATGTTGATTCCTGTAGACAGTAAAAGTAATGAACATGGTATTCTTACCACATGCCCAGTTGAAAGAGTGCCACATAATTCAAGAAAAAATTTTTTTGGATAACAAATTCTTTGTTATTCTTAGACTTGTACACTTTACAAGATTAGCTTCAAACTCCTGGTTCAAAACACTTTCTGAATTGGAGAACATCATCTCCTGATGAGCAAAAATCTCACCATTTTTTATTATCTTTATTTGATCAAGCCAAATCCAAAGATCAGCTATCATTAAAAGATCATCAGAATTAGCACTGAGATACAACTATGAATAATGAAAAACAGAAAAAAAGGATCAAAAGATTGAAGGATGGATGTAGAAGGGGGGGGGGGGGGGATGCCAATTTGCCCAGGAAAGTACAGGTGTATAAGATCTCATGATAACATAGCAGAAAACATTTTTGATCTTTTTAATTGCTTTGGTATGCACTAAAAACTTTCAATTTCTCTTGAAAGTTCTTTTAATTTCTGTTTCTGAATGGCATCATTTGTTCTAACCTATATGTCTAGTTTACATTGCATATAAATGAGCTTGGGTTTTGTGGGAAGGTGGTGTGAAGCCTATTATGATAAATATAGCATCTAAGCTGTGCAAAGATTGTACTTAGTGTACCATCTTTCCTTTGCATCCAAAAAAGCCAATATGTCCTGTTTTTCTCCTACAAAGTTTCCCAGCCAATTCTTTAGCAAAATCCACTGGAATTTGGTGACGAAACATTCACAAAATGAGTGTTCAAGTGTTTCTGGAAAGTTGTTCCAAAATGGGCAAAGGTTGTCCTCAGCTTTCCCTATTCTCTTCAGCCAGGTTTTATATATTACAGAATCATAAGGACAAATACAAAATTGTTTGACTTTCAGCATAAACTCACCATCATTTTCATCTGGATTGGCTTCATTTCTTTCTACATGGCTCAAGATGGGGGTAGGGTCAATTTCAAACCTCCTTCGGTCCCTGCGTTCTTGTCTTGCTCAGGAACTGTCCATCTTCTTTCTTATCTTTGATGGCACATCAGTGGAGGACAGGGGCAAGTTGACGGATGGAAATGCGGTCTTCTTCAACTTGCGTTTCTCTGCAGAGGTGCCTGCATTTAAGAGATATACATAACACTTTAAGTAGTCACCCAAATGTAATAAAGCCATATGCCTATTTTGAAGTTACAAATATGCTATGCCAAAGGCTTCCATCCGTCCAGAAAACAGGAAAGTCTTCACCTGCTGTCACTGGAATTTTAATACCTTCTGGCTGGTATTATGATTTCTCACTGCCAGAGTTTTACCAGGACAGAGGCCAAAGGAGAAATAACCAAGCCAAAAACATTAAGACATTAAATTTTCAGGTCTTAATGAATCATGCGAAAAACAGTAAAGATCTTTGGAAAATGCCAAATATGAAGGGTGGCCTCAAGTCACCAGAGGACACATTTACTGCAACATCAGCAGTTGGGGCTGGCAGTGGGCTTCCACACTGTAACTGAAGGAGTGCCATAGCAGCCTCATCTCGGCTCCTGTCATCCCTAATGTTGATTCCTGTGGACAGTAAAAGTAATGAACATGGTATTCTTACCACATGCCCAGTTGAAAGAGTGCCACATAATTAAAAAATTGTTTTGGATAACAAATTCTTTGTTATTCTTATATGCCTAGTTTACATTGCATATAAATGAGTTTTGTGGGAAGGTGGTGTGAAGCCTATTATGATAAATATAGCATCTAAGCTGTGGAAGGATTGTACTTAGTGTACCATCTTTCCATTTTCCTTTGCATCCAAAAAAGCCAATATGTCCTGTTTTTCTCCTGCATCCAAAAAAGCCAATATGTCCTGTTTTTCTCCTGCAAGGTTTCCCAGCCAATTCTGTAGCAAAATTCACTGGAATTTGGTGACGAAACATTCACAAAATGAGTGTTCAAGTGTTTCTGGAAAGTTGTTCCAAAATGGACAAAGGTTGTCCTCAGCTTTCCCTATTCTCTTCAGCCAGGTTTTATATATTACAGAATCATAAGGACAAATACAAAATTGTTTGACTTTCAGCATAAACTCACCATCATTTTCATCTGGATTGGCTTCATTTCTTTCTTCATGGCTCAAGATGGGGGTAGGGTCAATTTCAAACCTCCTTCGGTCCCTGCGTTCTTGTCTTGCTCGGGAACTGTCCATCTTCTTTCTTATCTTTGATGGCACATCAAGTAGTCACATCAAATGATGGCACCTGCTGTCACTGGAATTTTAATACCTTCTGGCTGGTATTATGATTTCTCACTGCCAGAGTTTTACCAGGACAGAGGCCAAAGGAGAAATAACCAAGCCAAAAACATTAAGACATTAAGACTTAATGAATCATGCGAAAAACAGTAAAGATCTTTGGAAAATGCCAAGATGGTTAGACTAAATCTTCAGTAGGTCGATGGAAAATTAACCCTGCACAGCTTGGACAAGATATCAACCCCTTCTATGGGGAATGGAATTGTTCAGGTACAGTTCATTCTTCCATAAGACCAAAAAAGCTTGTCTCATTCACAATTTAATACATGGGCTGACTTCATTTGCTAAAATCATACAGGGTGGATTTTTACTTATTCACTAAACTTTTTATTGAAGTTTTCCTCTTTGTTATCTAACGTTTCTCCTAGAAACCGTGGCTAGGCCTAATTTAGGCATAACTTATAGGTATTGTTGTCTTCAGAACTTATGAGCCTACCTGGTAGAAAGTTTAGTAGGAAGTGCTTTACTTCGCTTGTTTGCTGGTACCACCTTCTATAACCGAAAGGTTAGAAGTTGTCGGAAAAGGTGAGAAGAGCCGCGAAATGTTGGAGAGAGTGCGGGAGTTCACTAACTCTCAGCTTCTTCCGTGGGTGGAGGGAAGCGAACTTTCCGGTCTCAAGATGAGGCACTTCGAAAGCTCAATGTCGGTTGTTGTGTCGTTATGGCCAATAAGCGAAAACATGGAAAAGAACCACTTTTAAGGTAGGCGCAAATTTCTCCCCTTGTCCCCAAGAGCACGCAGTCAAAATCGCCATCCGCTTTAAAGTAGTTCCTTCCTTCCGCCACCAGTTAGCGTCTAAGGAGCTGCGATGCCCAATTGGTTAATTTGGGGGGAGTAAAGGGATTTCATTGTTAAGGGCCAAACAGGCTGAATAATCAATTTTGGCGAACTTAAAAAATAGTTCCATGATAAGAGTACAAGCAAATTGGTAAAATATTTATATGTGTTGATTAATCCAGTTCTCACTCTAATTTGGGATACTACGATGTCTTGAAGGTCATATACATGAGATTCTTCCACTCAAAATGCTAGGTTATTTTAACTTAGGTCTCATAAAAGTATATTTCCTGATAAATGCTTTCTGTAACCATGCTGCTATAAGTTATTCTATGGTCCATCCAAAATGTTTCTGGAACTTCGTTCTCTCGTTCGGCGTAAACTAACTTTTACTCCAAAAACTTCAGTGGCACATGCCATCCACAAGACTCTCCTTGCCTGAAAAAGTCTTCAGTCTGTCTTTCCGGGTTCAGCCTTCCTTTCACACCGTCTCAACCGCGGCGTCGCCTAACGAACTATTATGGTTCATTGTGGTCTTTCAGAGAACAGCAGAGCTCAGTACCATTTCATCCTCGTATAATAACTATAACATGATGGATGCTGTGTACCCCACTCCCCAGATGACCCTTGCGCTGTGGAAACATATCTGCAGCTCGTTACTCTGTCTCTCGCTCACACGTAAACTCTGCCCTTCCTGTCAGCAGACACGGCGTGCGTCCGCGGGGATCAAGCGCAGGCGCCAAGCGGGATGCCAATTACAGCGCATATAACAAAATACAAATGAAAGAAAAAACATCCCTGGCCTGAATAATGATCTTGTCTCTCTCCATTTTACATCACCCAAATACACATCTTCCCCATCTCAATCTTCAACATCCTCTTCGTCGCCTCTCTTCCCCACGTCTTCACCTCATCTCACTACCCCTGTATAAAAACTCCCAACCGTGTCTACTGTCACACATCTACAGTATGTTTCACGTGTCTGTGCATCCAATGTTAGACTCCTTATCACAGAGGTATGTTAATTTCCGAAAGGGTCGCCCGCTAACGCCCCGTGCGGCTAGCACCCTGGAGGACCTTCTTGTCTCCATTGTAAATGTTGTTAGATTTGATAGATATTGTTTGACGCAGATGCTGCATCAACTGGCAAGCGTAACCTCGACAAATCTTTCAAAACCAGCATGCTCTCCAGTAATGATGGTAGCATTTGTTAAACATTCCTCATACTTAAAATATGCCTAATACATTAATATCGGATGATTTTATATCCGTATGTAGTTAAAGCCGATAAAGAAAGGCATGTGGGATGAACTTCTTGGGCATCAAGAGTTTTATATATTGGGTTGGAAAGAAAATCTTGCAACACTCAAACTATTTATAAAAATTTTCAAAGGAATGATGGGCGGGGCTTTGCATTTGTATATGCTGGAATGTTCTCAAAGCTTCTGCCCTCGGGGTATATAAGGCGGCTTCTGCCATTAGTTGGCAGCCATGACTCCGATCGAACAAGCAACTCTTCGCCCCATCGTCTAATACGAGTTCCTCCAAGGACACTCTGCGAGAGTCGCTGCGGACAACATCTGCACTGCATTCAAGGGCAACGTCGTCCACTATTCCACGGAAAGGGCATCGAGCAGTTACCCGTGCGTTGGGAACATGTCATAGACAACAATGGTCATCACATTGTAGACTGAAATTGCATTTTAATAAAGTTATAAAATCATGAAAAATTTGCGCAGAGTGTTGCAAAACCTTCTTTCCAACCCAATATTTCTGTTGTTCATTGGCTGAGCCTTGACAACTGCATGAGCAATTTGATGCATGCCCTAAGTGTGGAGGAAGAATGAAGGAATCGGGAGCTGGGTTTCGACCCAAACCGGCCTGTCTTAGACAGGTTTTCCCATATTCTTCATTAAGTAGCCACTACCCATCACGTTCACTATTCCAAGGCAAGGAAACAAAAAGCATACCCATCATTTATTAAGTATTGCGCTTGCAGCATTGTTAAGTTTGAAAATATTCTACGGTTAAATGTAATCTCATATCTAACCAGTTAGCAACGCCACGAAATTTCAGTCGCAAACCGACATTACCCAGAAGGCGCGTCACGCATCATTTAAAAATATGCACTTACACCAACTTAACCCGAAATTGCTGATTTAGCTGGTAAGGAAACTAATAATACTAAATGAATGAAAAACGTTCAGCCTTAAATAGTATATGAACTCACAAAGCCAGAGCCAATGAATGAGAGGCTTATCCAGAAAAACACATACTTGAGAAAGAGACTCAATGCTTTCTTGCCACAATAGCTAGGGAATTAGGTTTCGGCGAGGCTACCAACTCCCCAACCACATGTCCATTACAAGATAATGAATCATAGCATCTTCTCATCGTATGGATATGAAAAAAAGGAGCTTTGCAGCTCAATCTTAAGAAAAAAAAACCATCACTTCAGTCTCTGCTTTTATATGTAGGTGTTCCCCATGCAGTGTCTTTTACGGCGCTAACTTGGCAGGTGCCTTGACGAAGGGGGAGGGCCATGATTTCTCCACGGGAAACACAAGCAAAGAGTCTTCCTTTACTAATGCTAACTGTGCCTTCTCCTTAAATCTGAATGTCATTGACGCAACAGTACCCTAAGAGTGCTATACTAATTGTCTTAATTGATTAAACTGATGTCTTACCATCCTTTCAGCTAAAACAAGCCGAATGAAGCATATTCCTTCTCTTTTGCAACAGGTTTCTCCCTTATAGGTAGCAAAGGAAACGGGTGGTAGTTAGATGAAGTACAATAATTTTCATAGTGATGTCCTAACTGCACATACAGGACACAAAATATCCTGGAAAACTACCACCGTCTTTCCCCTCTAGGCAGTAAATCAAAGTACATGCATAACTGAGGACGTTTAATCCCGTCAAAGAAACAATGATGCTTTTGAGATAAGTTCCAGAAAGAAGGGCAACGCATCAGGAAACTTGAGGGAATCAATTTTTCAATCAACGGCAAAGGTAAAAAATAGACAAATATCTCAAAAGTACATCAGGGATTTCCTGCCCATTTCTTTGACAGTCCAAACATTCAACTTGAGCTTTAAACAGATTTTGCAGTAGCTACACAGAAACATGCGTATCCTACGTTCATAACCAAAGACGAACTACTACAGATGGAATACGGTTTCGGCTGAGCTGGAACTTCCAGATGTTCCACTCTCCCTAGATCCGAAACCAGATACCTGTTAAGGAATTCGATAGGACCTTTAAGTAATTTACTTTTAATATTCTAGGTCTGTGGCAACACCTTCAGAGCCGTAGGATTTAGACAAGACCGCATCACCAGTGCAATTCCCTTCTATCAGTCCATTTACATATTTAAAGCGTATAAGTCTGGAGGTTCCAAAGAGAGAAAAAGGGATACAAGCATTAACCTTTAAGCATATTCGCCCGTAGCAATCGTATCTGCGGTGTCACAACATGCTTCCATTAGAATGGATGAGTACAGTTCAGACGTTGGTGTCAATAGATCATTAAAGAACGTAGCAGACAGTGTGCTGCTTATATGCAGAGAATATAGATCGAACATTCGAAGAAGACAAATTTCTCCATCTTTCATGGAAGAAGCAACTTCATATATGACCATCACCGCACGGCAGCGACGAAGCTCAAGGTTCCTTCGCTATGAATCCTGCTTCAGATAGTACCGCAATCACGATTCCGTATTGAAATGGAAATAAAAGGCGAAACTCGGCTTATTTGCGTAATCTCTCGTAAGCATCGAATGTTTTTTGCGCTTCCTTCCGGCCCTTCGCAGCCGACGAAAACAGCAACACACGAATGAGTTTGGAAGGGAAGGCTACATTACAGCAGAGCGGCTGGCCTCTGTTTCCCTATCCTTTTCTACTATGTTCTAACTCTCAAGTTTCTACACTCATTTCTCCATATCTTGTTTCATACTTCGTTTTACTTCCTTTGTTGACATTTCTATCTGGCGGCAAATACCCTGATGAGCACAATAAAAATCTAAAATTTCAAGAGGAAATTTAATACTTGACTCTTTCAACAGATAACAGGTTTTAGGTTCGCAGTTGAATGCCAAAATAAGTTTGTCTTACGTGAA